TAATTTTTTTTTTATAAAGACAAAGTTAAATATTGTTACCATCATGGCAAAAAGGTGTACACTACGAAATTAAGAGTAGAAACAACGTTCTTTATATCTTAAATATTCAATAAAATTAAGATTTATTTGTTGTTGTTAAACATATACCTATTAAGTAGGTACTTATTATGTTGTCGATATACGATGTCATAAGGATCGAAAAATACTGGCTATTTACTTTTGAGTAAACTCTTCATTTTAAGCAATAATAAAGCTTTCATTTGATGCAATAATGTTACAGTTTACAAACAATATACTTAAACATACCTATATTTTCTATATTATGTGAACATGAATATTTTTTTGCTTTAAAACGCTTTTTTGAGTAACAAGGAATCTAATAATATTCTTTTAAAACTTGCAGTGATTAACTAAAACTAATATTTTAATTTTAGATTATTATAATTTTTTTTAATCTTTAATTGTTTCTGTTGTATTTTTTTATAATTTAAATTGTACTTTTAATATTTTCATGAATTATGTTTTAACTCAATTCTATTTATCTTTGATTATATTGTCTAGTGTATTTTTATTGCATGTACCTATTGTTCTTCAATATTTGTATACGTGTTTCTTTGCAATGCGTGTAACACCTATTTGTAGTTGTCTGAAAGTTTGTATGGGGAAGCAACTTTGGGACGAACTGAGCGAAGCGAGTGTGGGTCGCAAGTTATAAAAACAAAAAAGAAACCCGACTGCATAAAAGCTAACTAAAGAGACGAAAACAAGTTGACGAAGTAATAAAGTATTATACAGTCGGAGACATACACATTTCATCCTTGACGCAAGATATATGCAAAATGCACATACGTATGTAACATACATACATAGACTGATAAACATATTGCCCTCCTTAGCGTCGCTCAATCGGGTAAAAATCGAGTTGAAGTAAAATATGCCTAGCAGATTAATATATGTACCCACTACCCTGTACACTGTACATTGCACAATTATGAATAGGTAGATAATAACCAGTTAGACCTTGAAAATATTTACTCGTTTTGGATGCAAAACAGGATTTCCAACTCATTTATTGAAATTTTATAATTAAAACATAGTTGTGATAATAAATTATGATAACACAACGTAACTTATTACCAAGATGTGCACATATATTAAAAAAAAGTTATTTTTGGAACTTTTATCTAACTCGAGCACCAAAGTTTAATAAACAAATCTTATCGCATGAATAAACGACTAAGATAAATATTCTTTACAGGGGGTCCTGAGTTCAATGCGTGATTACAAACGAGCACGACATTTAAAAACAAAATGTATAAAAATATAGATTTTATAACAACATAAAATTTACTATGGAGGATTACTCGCATTTTACATTCATAAATTATATTTTTATGTTCTTGAAATAAAAATCCTGATCTACCGTTCACGGCGACCAATCTCACTGAGACTAGCCATGACCACACCATAGATCACAAATATGTGCGAAGGTACAAGGACCCTCTATTCCTTTCACTTGCAAAGTCCGACGGGATGATACTTCGACACGACAGGTGCAAGGCTAATGGTTTTATGTCCTCTCCTAAGCGCAGAGGAGTAACTCCTTAACTTCTCAACTCCAGGCAGCTACTGAGAATTAACACAAATATCAATAAATACAACTAGCCCGACCCGGGATTCAACCCATGACCTCTGGATTTGCAGCTGTAAATATAGCCACTAGACACAATGAAATAGTTAAATCCAACGATTTTATTTACATAGTATTGAATTTTTCATACTATAAGTTAATTAGTTAGCCGCTTTACTCAGTTACAAATAGACTTTCTCAATTTAATTGAAAGCTAGACTAATGATGCGATTCTTCTTCAATGCTTTAGATAATCTGGATTGAGGAGGATAGCTATAATCGTTTACTGATAACATCGTGTCCCATCACTAGGGTATTTGTGAACTGTCCGGAAGTGGGCAATCCTTTAAAGATTTATATGTGGAGTTTTATGTTAGCAATTCTATGGCTTTGAAGAAATTCCTTTAAATGTTGTAGTTTCATATCTTAACATAACATTAAATGAGCAATTTTATATATCTTATATATTATACTAGCATTGCCCGCGACTCCGCCCGCGTTAATATTACCAAAAACCAATCTTATATTACAGTTTTTGTATTTTTCTCAGAAATGAGACATTTTCCCGGGGTAAAAAGTATCCTATATGTTGACCCGGATAACCAGCTATCATCATACCAAATTTCATCAAAATCCGTCAAGTGGTTTCGTCGTCATCACGGACAGACAGACAGACAGACAGACAAAAATCCTAAAAACTGTAGATTCCGCCTCTGTATCGATAATAATGTCTATTTCAATAAGATTTTCCAAAAAATATTTCATGTACAGATTCGGCTCAGTAAGAATTTTATTATATGTATAGATATATAAAAATCAATAGCTGTTAGTCTCACTAAAACTCGAGAACGGCTGGACAGATTTGGCTAATTTTGGTTTTGAATTATTTATGGAAGTCCAGGGTAGGCTTAAAAGGTGAGTAAATATGAAAAAAAATGCTTAGAATATAGTAAAAACAACGTTTTCGCTTTCCCTAAAAAAAAATCCTTTAGTTTTGAATGTCAAACATATTTTGATATTTGTCTCGTCATTTAGAAATCAATTAAATTTAAAAGTCGCTTAGAAATCAAATAAAATTTAAAAGTGAAGTTTTTTTTTTCATTTTTTTGGTTTTGGACGTCAAACGTATGATTAAAAGAATTATTTTGTTTTTTTTTTTCATTTGTTTTTGACATTTTGACATTGACAACCAAAAATTTTTGATCGCAACTATCTATCTATATATATATATATATATATATATATATATATATATATATATATATATATATATATAAAATTAATTGCCGTTCGTTAGTATCGCTAAAACTCAGAAAACGGCTAGACCAATTTGAGTAATTCTTTTTTTGTTTTTTTTGGGGGTGTTGGTGTTTTGGTAAGGGAGGTTTGAGTATTAAAAAAATATGGAAAACCCAAGAACACAACTGGAAAATCGAAAAGTTCAGAACTGTTTATTTTTTACCTACTCGTATGTATATTTTAATATAAAATCTATTTATTCCTTACAAACCGTTAAAACGTACCCAGGGATGAACCCGAGCGAAGTGAGGGTGAGTCGCTAGTATGTATATAAATTCATTCATTTTTTAATTTACTAGTATCTCCGTATATTTTCTTAATGTAGAAAGCGATGTGGTTGTGGCAACGCGCCTAGCTTCGTATCATTAACTATCAAATGATTTTATTCATCATGAAATGTTTTATGAAGACCTTAATAAAACAAGCACGTTTTCCCTCTTAATTCAGTTATGATAGAACAAATTTGTTGAGATATAAAATTTCTATAATAATAACGTTCTTATTTAGACTACTCACTAAAATCCCATGTTTACTATAAAAAATAAATGCAGGGAAAATTCTTCATTTTATAATAATATTTGGCGCAACAAATAGTGGTTTTGTTTTTATTATTTAAAACTAGATTTCATTTTGCTAGAAAAATATTCGCTAATTTATAACTTGAATGGGCTTAAATGCTATGCATTAAGAGGTATTATTTAATGGTAAGTTCAAGTGGCTCACGATTGTAGCTGGCCAACTGCCAGTATACCTGTTAATAAGTAAGTAATTCAACATGTTATTATACATTAAATATTGTTCTCATTTTATATGTTGATGACCGTTTATCTCGTTAATCCTAGCCAATTATCAAGCCTAGGTGATCTAGTGGCTGCATGTACGGCTGCAGATCCGGAGGTCGTTAACATGAGGAGGAGGTTAACATTTATTTTTATAATAAGTTGAATAAGTTTTGTAATTGAATATAGATTTATTATTAATATAATTTTAGCTGTTATTATTATTATATTTTTTTTAGAAAACTCTATTAATTAGTAATCTTATTAAGTGTTGCTATAATTATATTTATAAACTAACGGCTCACCCTCGCTTCGCTCGGGCTCGCTTCTAGACAAAGAAAAACAAATCTATCCCACAGGAACCGTACATTTTTCCGGGACGAAGAGCAGTAGCCTATTTGGTATTCTAACGTATGAACTACATAACTTGAGTTACTATAAAGTTTCATTAAAATCGAATCAGTACTTTTTGTCTACTAAGCTGTATAAGTTACTATAGTTTTTAACTATCTCACGGGAACTCTTTAATTTTCCGAGATGAAAAGTATCTAATATGTTGACTGCTGATATAAGGTACCACCATGCAAAATTTCATTTAAATCGGTCCAACAGTTTCGGAGATTAGCCCGCTGAAACAGACTAACAGCCAGAGAAACAAAAAAATGAAAAAAAAATCTGTTTTTTTTCTATTTCTCTTCTTACAACCCCCTGACTCGGATTTAGCATTTTTTCTCTATGTACAGACATTCAACCCCTACAGTTTTATTATAGACATAAATAAAAGAAAATATTAATTACTCAAGCCATATTATTGTTTTATAAGTAATATACATTTTTTTTTAATTATAAAAATATTTAAAATGAAAATTTATAATAATATTGTAAGGTACTTTTATGCCGTTTTTGTGATGACTATATAATGCCTTTGATGTGTCTAAAACCTTAAGTTGATGGTGATTGCTGTAAAGTATTCGAAACGTAGGGACTCGGGAACCAAAATAAATCCGCGAAAAAAAACGAAAAGATAGCTATATTTAAAATAATATACTTTATTCACAATTCATCAATTTTGTATTTACAATACTGAGTAAAAAGTGCAGTTTCACTGGATATATAATACTTAATTAGAATTAAAAATGATCACAATATTGTTATTTATGTATAAAACATTTTAATGTGTATTATATATCCGTATATGTATAATAAAATTAGTACTTTATACGTATATATAACAAATTATGTAATACATTGTTGTTTAATTGTTTATATCTGTTATACTATTGGATTGTTTATAGAGTTCCTTCACCGACTGCCTTGACTCCTATAGTAAAGAGCTGCAAAAAAAGATGTAGTGATTAATACAAGGATACAAAATAATAAATCTTTTAAAAATGATTACATATTTTTTTATTTATAAACCAGTCAGTTGTAGCCCAGTAATAACGCGCTTGCTTGAGTAAGTAATGCGAGTTCGAAAGTTTTGATGCCACTTGAAAGAAAAAGCCAAAATAAAAAACCTCCGACCATCTTAGACCGATTTTCATCAAAAATAGCTAAGAACTATCCCGACTAATTCACCTTTCAAACAAAAAAACAAAATCCTAATCGGTTCATTCGTTCGGGAGCTACGATGCCACAGACAGACATAGACACACACACAGGCACGTTAAACTTATAATACCCCGTCGTTTTTGCGTCAGGGGTTAATGATTTAAAAAAGAAATGGGAGTGCTCAACAGAGCGGAACAATGAAATAAGAACACCCCCTCCCTTTGCTCTATAAAATAAAGGTTCGCTCTCTCTCAAAGCATATTGTTCTCGTCTTTGGGATAGCGCCCCCCAATGTGGGGGCCCCATTTACGCTTCCATTTTACTCTGTCCAATGCCGGGCAGTTCGTATTGTCAGCGATCTCAGAGACGATTAGAACCTCTAAGGCTCCGGAGAGATGTTGGCTCTCTGTGTGTTTTCTACTGATTGCACAATGGAGAGTGTTATGTTTATCCATTTGAGCCAGTGCCAACGTCGCGTTTTTATAATCACACCCTTCAAGGTGGTATTGGATGTCATCCACACACAAGACATGCGAAGTCCGCCAACCCGCACTTGGCCAGCATGGTGGACTATAGACTGATCTGCCTCGCCTTCAAGGGAGGCCCGTGCCTAGCAATGGGACGTTAAAAAGACGATTAAAATTTCACCTACTAGATTGCGTAATTGTTTAATAGAACGTGGGCAAATACGTCAAAAATTATTAATAAATATCAAAATAGTATATTCACATTAACATTCGGTGGTGTGGAGAGGGCATATATTACAGCATCGACAACCTCATCACACTCTGCTTTCGGTATAACTGCAAGATCCTCAGGGAGCAAATCTGTGTTCACTGCACCAGGGTGGAGGCTCTGAAATATATAAAAACGCGTTATAGAAATTTCCCAATATTGAATTCTTAAGTGCAGTTTATCGCATTTTAGAAGTCTAAATTGATCAAACAGAACTCTAACAAAATAGAAAACAATATTTTGCTAATTTATGACGATTATACTCGTACATCTATTTTATTATTTAACTAGCGACTCGCCTCATCGTCTTTTTTTAACCCCCGACGCAAAAAGAGGGGTGTTATAAGTTTGACGTCGATATCTATCTGTGCGTGCGTGCGTGCATGCGTGCGTGCGTGCGTTCGTGCGTGAGTGCGTGCGTGCGTGCGTGCGTGCGTGCGTGCGTGCGTGCGTGCGTGCGTGCGTGCGTGCGTGCGTGCGTGCGTACGTGCGTGCGTGCGTGTGTGTGTGTGTGTAGATCTCAAACGGATGGACTGATTTCGATGATTTTTTTTCATTTGAAACCCAGTTTCTTTGCGGTGGTTTTTAGCTATGTTTGGTTAATATCGGTCCAGCAGTGTAAGAGTATCATCTCTTTTCCAAAATTATGTAAGGCATTTTGGCGTATGATTACTCGATTAAGTGCTTCATGCGTGCCAATGTTATCGTTAAATGACAATTAACTTGCGTAGGAAGTTTTTAAATTTTTAAATTTATAATTATTTAAACGTAACCAGTTACGTTTAAACTTTTAATATAGATTTGTCAGAGATGAGATATTTTCCCGCAGTAAAAAGTATTCTATATGATGACTCGGATCACCAGCTATCAACATACTATATTTCATCAAAATCTGTCCAGTGGTTTTCTCGTATTGCGTTCTCAGACAGATAGACAGACACAGAAAAAAATCTAAAAACAATAGATTCGGCTTTTGTATCGATAATAATGATTATTTCAATAAGATTTTCCAAAAAAAATTGATGTACAGAGTCGAATCTGCTAGAATATTATTATATGTAGTACTCGTATGTATAGATTATATTTTAAAATCGATATAAAAACTGTATATAAATATTATAACGGTATTTTAAAATTTCTTACCGTAACTTTAATTTTACTATTGAATTTAGCAAGCTCATTTATCAGACTTTGGGTGAAAGAGGTGAGTGCATATTTGGTCAAGGGGTATGCGCTTGAGATTTGGAGCGCAGGCACGTAGAGACCGAAAACACTGAAATGCAAACAAAATTTTCATAACGTACAGATTGAGCAAATAATTATATATAATTTCTATCTTAATATGTATGGTAGGTAGTGTGAATTACAAGATTTTACAAATAAATAGTGTAAAGTACTATAAATAAATCAAATTTCATAATAAATACTTTACGGCTTATTGGTTGGTGATGATGAAACTAACATAATATACGAATTTACAATATGAAGGTAACCCTTTGCTCTTTATTATTTATGGTTTTTAGCGCGATCCAAAAATATCATATGAATCAGTAATTTGATTTTAAATATGATTATTAGTTATAGCATTCACCTATTTGTATTGACGATGTGTCCAGCAACTCCTCTTTTTGTCATGCTTTTGACTGCTAGACGAGTACAAAGAACTACTGCAGTGATATTGACATCGATTGTCAGTTCAATCGTATCGTCCTTTAGTTCTGGTTTATCTCCAATATCTAAAAATAGAATTGCTCTTCTGTAATAATCCGCGATGGCAAACTAATCTATGTAATCAGAATAGCAGGATGGCCATTTATTAAATAAACAAGTTTTATAAAGCTAGGGATCTAATAATGTACTCCCGGCCGATTTATATATATCTGGGCAGAAGATATTGTAGTGCACAAGTGCACTCTGTATTCCTGTCACTGTCATATTCCAGTGGAACGACTGCTCGACACGACCAGTGAGAGTTAAGGCGCAGGACCGACGGTTTTGTGTGCTCTCCGAGGCACGGGGGTAGAATACCACTAACTTCCCAACTCTTGACTACTACTGAGAATTTCTTGACACAAATGATGATGATGATGATGCTCTCCTAGCCGACTCCGGCTACAGCGGCCAATCTCATTGAAATTAGCCAACTGCGCAGTAGATATTATAGTGCTCAAGTGTACGCGCAGACACAAGTGCACTCTCTATTCCTATCACTCTCATACTCCGGTGGGACGACCACTCGACACGACCAGTGAGAGTTAAGGCGCAGGACCGACGGCTTTACGTGCTCCCCGAGGCACGGGGGTGAAACACTGCCATCTTCCCAACTCCGGGCTGTTACTGAGACTTACTATACAGAAAGACTCAATAACTAAACTTGGCCCGACCCGGGACTCGAACCCAGGTCCTGCGGGTGTGCAGCCGTACATGCTAGCCACTACACCACCGAGGCAGTTGACACAAATACTCAATAACTGAATATGGCTCGTCCTAAGACTCGAAGCTAGCCCCTCCAGATCTGCGGCATGCTAGCCACGAGTCCTCCACCTATAGTTGTAGTTAGGAGTTTTAAATAGAACCTTGAGGTATTCCCAAAAATAATTTAAGTATTTTTTTATTGACTTTGGACAGACACCTAATGTCTTTTAGACATAAGAAGAATATGATATGAAGGCAACATATAATATCTTTAGTTTATCTTTGATTATTACTATCACATTTACATAATCATACCAGTAATATATCCAACAGGGAAGTGTCCAGCATTATTCAGGAGGATATCTACGCCACCGAACTCCATTTCAACCCATTCAAAAGCTGCTGTTATTTGCTCAGGTTTGGAAACATCAACATATCTTGAGTAAATCTTGCCTTTTCCTGTCACCGTCTTAGCTATTTTCTGTGGAAATTATATTTTATGTAGTGAGGCTTTTCTCTCATTAAATTGGGTTTTCTTATTATTTAACAAGCCTGTGGCATGGTTTAAATCCTCCCCAATTGACATTGCAATTATACTATTTTTTCGGATTTTTTCGCGGATTTGTTTTGATTTTTGGTTCCCGACGTTTCGATTGCTTTACAGCAATCATAGTCACGGAAGAGACTAAGGTTTTAGATGTCTAAAATGCATTATATTGTTGTTACAGACAGCCTACCCACAAAATAACAAAATGAATTCAAAAAATAGAAAAATGGCACCTTAGTAAACTGTATGTACTAACACACAGTTTACTAAGGTGCATATGTGCATATACTATACTATACTATAGGTGCATAGTGTGTAAATGGCACCTTACAATATTTTCAATTTTAAACATTTTTATAATTTTAATAAGTTTTATAATTGAATATAGAATATAATTTATTTAATTTTAGCTGTTATTATAGTTTTTAATTTTTTTTAGAAAAAAATATTAGTAAGTAATCTATATTTAGTGTTGCCATTATTATATTTATAAACAAAGAAAAATAAAATATTAATTATTCAAGCCACATTATCTATGTGTTATTAAAAAGTTAAAAATTAATTAAGAATAATAATTTTAATTTAGTTTGCTATTATTTAAAAAATCAAAGTATTAATTTGAAATACTGTTATTTTCATTCGCACAGTAACAACTTACTACATCTAACCGTCTGTTATGTTTAATTTTATTATTAATCAAATAATAAAATTTATTATATTAATTACAGGATCCCACGACGATGATAGTACCCAGCCATCTTCCCTATTGAAATTTGGATGTTTTTTTAAATTTCAATCACAATGGAAAGGTCGGGAACCAAAAATCAAAATAAACCCGCGAATAAATCCGAAAAGACAGTTTAATTTAAAACTATCGTTTGTATTAACGAAAAGGTCGCGTTACCTGTATAAAATTATATACTTACATCAATCAATTCTTTTCTTCTTGCTAAACCGACCACTATGAGACCCGCGTCTGCCAAACGGAGGGCCATCTTAGCACCGATGCCTGAGCTAGCTCCCGTCACTACGGCTACTTTACCAACCCAACGTTCCATGTTTACCTTAATTATGTACTTCACTTCCAGTTTGAGCAATGTGTCTTCTCGTGTGATCTGCTCACAAATGAATAAAATATATTTTTTTTTGCTATATATATACCTACGTTGTTAAACTATAAAACACACATAAATCGAGATTCGGATGCGAAACGAAAGATCATGTATAAACTACATTTTACAAGTGTTTCACGTTATATGATGCACTATTTATATAAAAAATAAATAAAAAAAAAACATTTAAAACAGAACCAGTCTCCTTACTAAAAACATTTTGCACAATTACTTTAAGTACCTTATCGTTTTATTTGCTCGTAGGAAGCTCCATAAAAATGTCAAAGAGACAATTTTAAATCAGTTCTTTTTACGGAATGTCAACACCATAAAATTACATATACTGGTTTAATTATGGTTTTTAAATAAAATATCTTAGGAGGACAGTGATAAAATATTTTTTTTGTGAATTGCGATATAAACAATGATAAAAAAGTTTGTGAACATTAATATAAAGGTAAATCCTTAATGAGCTTTTATCATTAATTAATTCAAATAAATAAATATAAATAGTTGGGACATTAAAACATAGCACCATCTAGTTCCATAGTAAGCTACGGGGCTTGTGTTATGGATACCAGATAGTGGATACACTACACATTTATATAACTTTAAATACATACATATTATAAATATAAATAATATTCTATTAGAGTTAGTTTTAGTTTCTTCCATACTCCAAATTTCTCGTTTTGTAAATGCTAACCTCAAAAGGTTGTTGATAAATTAAATTAAAAAAAACCGACATGTAATTCTCTATTTTGTGGTGGCGGCCATTTTGGATTTGATAGTGATAGTCTCATAGTGTATAGTGTTCTACTAGTCACTTTCATTTGGCCCTTTCATTTGATACCCATATTGAGGGAGTTGTGAAAGAATATGTAATACGCCATTTTGTGGCGGCAGCCATCTTGGACCGATTTTCATCAAACATAGCTAAGAACACTCTTAACAAATTCACCTTTCAAATAAAAAAAACAAAATCGAAATCGGTTCATCCTTTCGGGAGCTACGATGCCACAGACAGACACACACACAGACACGTCAAACTTATAACACCCCGTCGTTTTTGCGTCGGGGGTTAAAAACGGCCGTAAGTAGAAATCCCTCTGAAAGAGCTAATAAAATAAGCAGACAATCACTGCGAAAACACATAACAATCACCTTTTTATCATATCTGTAGCCTTGATGATAATTTTTGTAGAAATAGAAAAAAATAAGTTAAGATTTAATAATTCAACCTTAATACTACCATTATAAGTCAAAATTTATTTTAACTTGTAAATATTTAAAGTTGATGAAGATGAATAATAATATAAAAAAATTGACGAAAATAATTGACCAAAAACTATCGACTCAGCCTCGCTTCGCTCGGGTTCGTCCCTAGGTATGTTTTAACGGTTAGTATGAAACACAAATCTTTGAAATTCTCGGCTTTTCTGTGCTATAATATGCATGTATTATACATATAAACCTTCCACTTGAATCACTCTATCTATTAAAAAAATCGCATCAAATTCGTTGCGTAGTTTTAAAGATCTAAGCATACATAAGAACAGACAGACAGCGGGAAGCGACTTTGTTTTATACTATGTAGTGATAATACACAAATCTTGTACCACGTAGAATTTTGCTATTTTCTATATAGATATATTACAAATGATTCGAATATTCTACCAGATATTTTAATTTTACTTATGGGACTAGCTGTCTATCGTTTGTTGGTATTTTGTACTGCTAATTTCATTTATACTTTGATCCTACTAATATCTTTCTAATATTATAAATACGAAGGTTTGTGAGGATGTATAGATGTATGAATGTTTGTTACTCTTTTACGCAAAAACTACTGAATGTATTTTAATGAAACTTTACAATAATAAAGCGCATACATCAAAATAACGCATAGGCTACTTTTTATCCTGGGAAATGTACGATTCCCGTGGGATAGATTTGTTTTTGTTTTTCTAGAGGCGAACCCAAGCGAAGCGAAGTAGAGCTGCTAGTTTTATATAAAATCGATTTTTTTGGTAAATTTGAACAAAAATACAATATAATTTGACTAGAGTTTAACTCACATTAGAATCTGTATTAATTTCCGTACTAATTGTAAGAGCGTAATTTCTAAGGACAAATCGACAGAAGCCGTTATAGTTTTTACCCGTGGGAATTAATGATTTTCTTGCAGTATCCTAACAGGTCAACAACCCGAGTTATCAGTTATCACTATACAAAATTTAGTTAAAATTGGTTATGTACTTTTTGCGTGAAGTACACACAGATATATAGACAAACAGGCTAAAGTTTCCATAATATAATAACGATTGAATAGAATAAAGTTTCCATATACATAATATAGATAAAAACTGATACGAAATAATTGGAAAATGGCTGTTTCATAAGTTTAAAAATAGATTTTCTAACACTCAATATATTTTAAACCAAATGTAAGATTACCCACTTCCGAACAGTTCCAAATTTCCTAGTGATGGGACACGATGTTATCGGTAATTGATTACCGCTGTCTGTCTCGCTCGAGATTATCTAGCATTGAGGAAGGATTGCTAGACTAGACTAATGATCTAGGTTTTATTGTAACTGAGAATCTCTGAATCTGTTTTAACTGGAATAAAGTGACGTAATAAAATGTAATTACATTTATTTATTAAAACTAAATAAAAATTTACAATTTATGTTATAATTCAAAAACTGTCATGCGATTTAATTTATTTGTGTATGACACATTTGTATAACATTTTGCACTCTATACTCCCTAAAAACAATATTTAACTCAGCAGTGGGACATTAAAAAGTGCTGAATAGTGCCGTAACTAAGCTATCTAACATCACGCTGAAGCCTTGAGCCAAATTAAGTCAACAAATTTTGACTTTCTGCGGCCCTCCTACATATAAACTTCAACTATGCCAAAGCTCATACTCCTCACGCACAATGTACTTTAGAAGGGATATAAAGCTCTCTGTTCAATTATATTCTGTTCAATTATATAAACATTCTGTTCAATTAATAAAAAAAAAAAATATTAATCCGTGTAAAATCAACAAATGGTACAAGCGTATATTGTATAATCGTATCATTATTCCGCAACAATAACAGTTTAGGAGATAAGTTAGATCAACCGAGTTCCAAGCGTTTTCCAATAAATGGTCGCAACAAGTTGAAAACAGCCGTAAATATAAATGCTGGTATTGCTGTAGTAAAATATCGTAATCAAATTTTAAAATAAAATATTTTATAACTTAAATTACGTACATATGAATATGTTAATGTTACGTATACACATTCAATAGTAAGAAATGTGACATTTTTTTATATTTAAAATAGCAGAGTATTACTATACATATATGTTGACATCTTAAAATCACATAAAAATAGAACGAATTTATGACCAAAGCGTTATGTTAAAAATCGTTATATCAGGAAATAATAATGTACCTAGAAAAGTTAAAGTACCTAAAAAAAACAAAAGAATTGAATTGTAATGTACTTCCATTTTTTAGATCTACTTATGATTTTTATGGACATGGGAGAGACGGGGTCAAAACACCGAGTAGCAAAAAGCAAAATGAAACCGTAAAAAACTAGTTTTATTTAAAATCTAAAATATTTGCGTCAATCTTGAAAAGTATCCATAAAGTCTTATTTATTAACGATTGTAGAATGACATTTTGTCTGAACCCCATGTATAGACTTACAGCTAGATAGAACAACCTGTATAGTATTATGTGATCTTTGATCCTACGCTTCTTTTGCATTGAGCCCTTCTTATTTCCAGCAGAGAGGGAGAGACTCTCCCGTAATCATGATTGCTGTAAAGACCATAAAAAACTCAATTTCTTGACAAAAAACCCAGTGACTAATATAGTATAGATATAGTTGTATAGAGACGTTACTTGACTTAAATGGTTTGTCCATATTATATAGTAATTTATTCCAAACAAATAAGATAAATCATTTCTATCTCTTACACATAAAAATACTTTTTACCTTCTAAAATTATTTCTAAATTAAAATTATTAATATAAAGCATAAGCTAGCAAGATAGAGGCCATATTAACATTGTTCTAAAAGAAATTTAATATTTTACAATAGCTTTGATATGATAAAGCATGGACAAATATAGCGAGCTGTATTTACAAGATGAAAGATTTCATGTTATAAACCCGGAGACAGCCTCTTTGTACGGAGGTGAGTAAACATGTCATAGAAATTGTTCTGAACAACTCAGTCTTCAAAATCGGATATATTAAAATGGAATTTCAATATCTTTCTATTTTACTACTTGAAATACATGCTTTTATCTTTTATGTACAGATCTACAAGCCTATTGTTATACTTCACTTATAAAATTGAAAGCTTTTTAATATTCTGTTTCTCATAAACTTAATCATAATCATTAGTGTAATCTACACATATAATAAAATTCTAATATATATATATATATATATATATATATATATATATATATATATATAGTAGGGGTAACATTTTAGCCGAATCTATTGTTTTTTAAATTTTTGTCTATCTGTCTGTCTGTCTGTTTGTCTGGGAACGCATCACGACAAAACCACTGGACAGATTTTGGTACGATGATAGCTGGTTATCCGGGTCAACAAATAGGATTCTTTTTACTGCGTAAGAGGACCTCATCTCTGAGAAATCTACACTAGTAACCGTTAAAATGTACCAAGGGATGAACCCGAGCGGCGCGAGGGTGAGTCGCTAGTGTTATAATATGATAATTCTGTTTAATAAAAAATCATAAAACTTATTGAAACTCTCAGATATATTAGTTTTACTTTCTTTGATTTACGCGAATATTTGACAGTTTAATAAAACTACGGGAACCAAAAATCAATATAAATCCCCGAAAACATCCGAAAATATAGTAGTTTTTTTAAATATATTAATTTTATTATCAAGCGTT